TGATTCTTTTTTTTTTTTAGTGCTGGGGACTGATCTCAGTTCTACCACTGAGATAATTCTCTAAGGCTATTATTTTAAATGCACATTTTATTTTAATCAAGAAAACGTTCTTTTGCAAAGAAAATACACGTTACTCTAAAATGTGGTGTCTAATTTGATGCAATGTTGCATCTCTGAATCTTCATTCCTTCTAATATGTCTTCATTTCATCTGTCTGGAGTTGAAACCCTCAGATAACCAGTGATGCCTCACTCCCAGGAATACACTGGCAGACAGAGAGACAGTGAGTGCTGGGAAGAGGCTTTGGTATGAGGACCATGTTCCCATGCACTGCACAAAGTCTGAGAACAGACCCCAGGTATGATGTGGTCTAAGTCTCAGAGAAGGAAAGTTAGTTCATGACCTTTCGGTTTGATTTTTGTGAGATGGAAATAAGCAAACATCCATCCATCAGTGTATATGTGGGGATAGGAGGGCTGAGGAGACATAATGATGTGTCTCTCAACTTCTTGAATACTCTTCCTGTGTGTGCTAGTCAGTAATAAAAAATTTTGCCAGTGCATGTAGGTTTTATTCTACATGATGTGGAAAGTCCCTAGATTTTGTTTTGTGGTGCTGAGTATGTCATCTTCCCACTACTAGTTTCTGTGAGCCTCCTAACATCTGAGATCATTGCTGCCCAGACCTGCATTAGAGGGATTTTCCTTCTAGTCCAGCTCTACTGTCACAGCACAGACTTACCCTTCAGCACGTGCATTCTCTTGCAAAGAATGAGCTTGTTGCATTCCATTTCTATATCCCACCACCTGACAGGTTGTTGGGTTTTTATTATGACAAAACTGACTATTGGGATCAAGCACAATGGCAGAAAACTGTGAGAGAGGCTGTGGCAACAGTAAGTTCAAGCTGGCCTGGGCATCAAACCCCCAATCTAAAGCAAAAAAATGCTGCTAAATGAATTAATTTTTGAGATTTTTGTATTAGCATGCACATTTGAAAGCCTCTTGTTGCTTATTCAGTGTGCTGAAATTGCAACATTAATTTTTGTAGAATATTCTCCCAAATTCATTGATTCCTCTAAAACCTTACAACCTGTGATAGAAATTAGGAGACTCAGAGGTCTCAGTTATGTTCCCAACAGTTTTTCTGCTTCTGAATTTTGCTTTTTTGTCTTGTTTTACATGGAAGTTGATAAAAATATTATGGAGAACTGTTTGG